TCTCTTAAGTTCTTTAGACAAAATATTTCCATCAAGTAAAAGAAAGCAATGTATCAACTGACCATTCCCGATTGAGTAGTGAAGAGAGTTGAAGGACGAATGATCTGAGGTTACTTATGTAATTTCTTTCCCTCCCCAAAGTACAAGATATTTCGGTGACTTTCTGGGCACTGTGCCTGCAGAACTGGGCCAGGGTTCAAGGCAGCAAAGTTCTCACTCCTGTGGGTCAGTGAACTCCACCACACACAAAACAGAAATGTTTCATTTACAGGAAACAAAACCAATCTGGCACAGGAGCTATCACTTAAAGGTCTCCCCCACACAGAAGGTCAATAGCTGAGCATCTAAATTATCCGAGATGGCTTTCCTTTTCTTACAGCAGAAATTGTAGCTGTACTTCATTTCCTTTAACAAAAAAAAAAAAAAGGAAGAAAAAAGGCAGATATTTATTTTTCTAGGCAAGAAGGCAAATATAGGTTATGTCACAACTTCCAGTGCGGCCTCCACAGCCCCACTTGGCTGATGAGAACTTGTACATGACCTTTAGTCCTTCCCTTCTAAAAAGTTGACATCCATCCTCCACCTCCCACTTCCAGGAAGAGCAGGCAATTAAGCTGCAGCCATCCCTTTCGAAGTATACAACTGCAGGGGTTTAAGCAGTTTACTTCAACAACATACATTTCTCTCCGAGTTCCCGGACAGAGGGCGTGGGCTCTGTGGAGCACACAGGATTCTATGCTGTGGGCCTGAGGGCAGGGTTTCCCACCAGGCTTTCTCTGCTCCTTTTACAACAGAACAGTCCTGTGAACTTTACTCAGCCATTATGAGAGGGAAAATGTACTAAAAGGCAACAATACCACACTTAGAATTACCATTAACCATTTAAACTCGGTGCCCCGCCCCCGGCCAAGGCGTCCCCTGAGACGTGCACGATAGAATGGATTCATCTCATGCCACCATTGCTGCGCCATGTACCACAGCACCCTATTCTCCCGGCTGATTATCTAGACACAGCAACATGGCCCAGCTGCCAGAATTCGGGTCTGTGAGAAGAAGCCGAACAATGTAGATCTTCACTGGAGTGCTGAGTTCACTAAACATTGCCCTGAAAAGTTTTAAAGCCAGCCTAACTGGGTCCCAAATACAGTGCACAGCACAGTAATGAAAATGCCTGCTGATGGGCAGCCAGGACTGCAATTCAGACCCAACTGTTGTTTACTAGCTGAATAGCTCGGGGCAAGTCACTAAACCACTCTAAGCTCTTAAAAACACTTTATCAGACCCTGCAAGTCTCCCCATGACCTGACCGCTGCTGACCTCTCAGATTACTACTTGAACTCCCATTTCCCCCCCTTTAACTGCCTGGACATGCTGAGTTCATTCCCACCTCAGGGCCTTTGCATTGGCTGTCCTCTCTACTTAATACACCCTTCCCCAGAGTTTCACCTGGCTGGCTACTTTTCATTCCTCAGTTCTCAGCTCAAATATCAAGAAGTACTGTCAAGATTTCATAAACACAATCTTGAGTTATGTGAGTACATATTTTATGTATCTACTTCATAAAGTAAAAAAGGAACAAAACCAGTGCATGGTTGGGGTACCTCAGAGGAGTGGCTACCCTTTTCAGGAGGAAAGCAGTGAAAGGAAGGAACACCAGGGGGCTCTCTGGGATGCTGCTAAATGATTCTTCTCTTGACACGGATTTCGTTATCTGGGCATGTTCAGTTTGTGAACTCATCTAGCTGTTCACTTATAACATACATTCTAGTATGTGTGTTATACTGCAATAAAAAATTAAACCAAAACAAAAAGAATATCTCATTAAATTGGTTTTCCTTAATCTTCTAATCTACACTACCCTATTGACTAAGCTATTCATTCTTGGTCCCATGACCCTGTTTTGTTTCCTTCGTAGCATTTGCCATTTGAAATAATCTGTATGTATGGTCTAGCAACTCTTGCCCTTCCCCAATCCTATTAAAATAAAGTATCATGTGGCCAAGGGCTCTGCCTGCCTTGTTCACCACTCTCAAATCTCAGCACCCAGAATAGTCCTGGTCTAGCTATAGACAAAAATTAAAAAAAAAAAAAAATGGCTAAAGGGGGCCCTTTAAGGATATAACAACAATCCTAATGCCTTAAGCATTAGGAATGTGTCAAATGTTAAATTTAACGATGGGGCCCTAGCCGGTTTGGCTTGATGGTTAGAGCGTCAGCCTGTGGTCCAGAGAGACCCGGGTTCGGTTCCCACTAAGGGCACGTACCTCAGTTGCAGTTTGTCCCCGGCCCTGGTTGGTCATACGAGTGGCAGCCACTCGATGCATCCCTTTCACATCGATGTTTCTCTCTCTTTCTCTTCCTCTCTCTCCCTCCCACTCTATCTGAACAAAAAATGGAAAAATGTCCTCAGGTGAGGATAAAAAAAAAATTAACGATGGGGAGGGGCTAGTAAAGTGTCATTCTATGGGTACCTTTGTGAGAGTGGTTAAAGTTACCTCTCAGAGCAGACACTGGGTCTTTTATCTCTGTACATCCAACAGTTTTGCACAAGGTCTGGTTCAAAATAAGTCTGAGCCACGTGTGGTAACAGATTTCTGAGACACTTAGTGAGGATTCTTAAGGTTTGTGGGGAAAGTGGGTGATGTTTGACTGGCCCATATGGCTCAATGGTTGAGCGTCAACCCATGCACCAAGAGATCCCTGGTTCGATTCCGGGTCAGGGCACATGCCCAGGTTGTGGGCCCAAACCCCAGTGAGGGGCATGCAGGAGGTGGCCAATCAATGTTCTTGCTCATCAATGTTTCTATCTCTGTCTCCCTCTCCCTTCCTCTCTCTCTAAAATCAATAAAGAATAAATATTTTTTTTTAAAAGTGGATGTTCAATTGTATGTAACATCTGCCACAGCAAAGTGAGTGGGTAAGCACACAACCAAGCAGACTTAACTGCAGCAGATACTGAGAAACATCCAAGCCCAGCCAGAGTGGCTTAGTTGGTTGAACATAGTCCAGTGCATTGAAAGGTTGCCAGTTCCATTGCAGGTCAGGGCACATACCTACCTGGGTTTCAGGTATGATCCCCAGTCAGGGAGCATTTAGAAGGCAACCCACTGATGCTTCTCTCGCACACTGATGTCTCTCTCCCCCTCGCTAAGTATGTCCTTGAGTGAAGATTAAAAAAAAAAAAAGCAGCATCCAAGAATTTGAAGAGTTCCTTACAAGTCATGAGCAATACCTAATTTTTTTGCCAACTCTAAGATGTTTGTAAAGAAAAAATAAAACTGTGTAGCACTGCTAGTGAGATGTAATATGTGGTGTGCAGACTAACATACATGCAGGCATAATGCACATTCATGAGCAAATCTATACTCACGGAGCAACAGCCTGATATAAGAGAAACTGAAAAGAAAGCCTTTTATTCTGTAATTAGCTCTGTCACACTCTCTTTATAACCCTGAACAAATCATTAAAACTCTTTAGGCCTCAATTTTTCTACCTGTGAAATGAGCTGGTTGGACTACATGCTTGCTAATGCCCATTTCCTTGGACAGCTCTGACTTTAAAACATTACTCTCATTTTCTGAGCCTTCTGTGTACAAAATAACAAATCATCCACAAGTATGTAAATCAAGGTTACCAGATGAAGTGAGTTAAGAAATCCTTTTACCTAGTCTTGTTGCCAAATGAAGGGTCTCTTTCCCCAACCAGATTCTCTAAACTTTAGAGACACTTTGAAAAGGGTTGTGTTCAGACTCCCATTTCTTGGTTAGATAAGCAAGAAGCCCTATACTTCAGCTAAACACTTGTGTTTCTCTGTATAATAATTTCCTTCGCTTGAGTTTTCACACCCTAGGTACCATGTTTCTTATCAATTCAAATCTACACTCACAGTTAGCACCACAATTCTTGTTCTTTGTCACACCTAAATAATGAACAAGACTTAATCACCTGGAGGTATTCTCCTTACTCTATTACAACAGTTATTAGTGATTTTAATTAGACAAAACCGCCATTCCTTTTGCTACCCCACCATACTGCCAAGTGCCTATTAAGAATATCACGGTAATTAGTATTAGCACCTTTTAAATTTACATTAACAAAAAGAGAGAACTGAGAAGTCAGGCAATGAAAGGAGGAAAAAAAATAACCGTGATGTCATAATTAGCCAAAGCTTGAAGTAACTCAGAAAATCATTAGCAGCTATCTTTAATTTTTCTTAAAAACTACACTATTCATTTCCTGGTTAAAACTGCACGGGTGAGCATCTGCTTCTCACCCACGGAAGTGGACAAGGAAACTGCTCAGCTGCGTGCACACGCTGCCCTTTCTGTAAGGGGAAGGCGGTATCTGCGGGGAAGGAGCGGAGTGGTTGAGAGACGGCGCCAAGAGTCCTCACCAGCTCCTAACTCCCCCGAGCCGTCTGCCAAGGTAAACGCCACCGGGGGCCAAGTTCAAACAGCCCATATTCAGCATCCACCACGGGCCCTGTTGGGGTTTTATTCCCTATAAACCAGGAAAAAGTCGGCAGGGCTCTGGCGTGTGTTGGTGACGGAAGTGACTTGCGGGGAGGAGAGGGCGCGCGGCGCCCACGTCTGCGAGCGCGGGCAGCCCGCACAGGTGCGGCTGATGGGTTTCCGGGCAGTGCACGTGGCCGCACAGGTGCGCCCAGGGCAGCGACGTTTCAAAGCTCAGCTGGCAAAGCGGCTAAAACCTGGGCACTCAACCCGGCGGGAGGAACTTTTCCTCAACTTGCGCGCAGGGCCGGGCACGGGGCCAGGCGCCCCGCGCGGCTGGGCCGGCGCCGTCTGAGGGCTGGGCGGCGCTCCGCCTGGGGCAGCGGGCGCTGGGGCCCCTCGCCCCGGCCCACGCCCGGCCCCGGACGGCGCGGACCCTCGTGCGCCGGGGGCAGCTCCGCACGGCCGCGCACCCAGGGCGGGAGCGGGAGGGGGAGGAGGGGCCGGGCAGGCGGGTGCCCCGCCAGCGCCCTGCCGCGCGCCGCTCACCTGCGATCTGGCCGCCAGGAGCCGGGGCCGCAGCGCCAGCTCGCGCAGAAGAGCCGGGGCCCGCGCTGCCGCCGGGGACGCCATCTTAGCCAGGAACCGGCGGGGGGCGGGGAGCGCGGGGGCGGGGAGGCGCGGAGAGGGCGGAGGGAGGCCGGGGGAGGCGCGGAGGGGGCGGAGGGAGGCCGGGGGAGGCCGGGAGAGGCGGAGGGAGGCCGGGGGAGGCCGGGAGAGGCGGAGGGAGGCCGGGGGAGGCGGCCCCTCTGCCCGCCCCGCCCCGCCCCTGCCACGTGCCCAGCGCGGGATGCGGGCTCGCAGACGTCCCTTTGGGAGCACCTGGCGCGCTCCTGGCCGGCGAGCCTTCGGTCCCTCAGGCCTGGCCGCGAGGCCCCGAGGCCGCTTTCAGAGTTCAGAGGCGGGGTGGCCTTCGCACTGTGCCACCCGGGAGCCCGGCAGCCACGGGCTTCCGCTGTCCCCAGGGACCGACAGACAAGGATGTTGGGCGTTGCAGTAAGGGCTCCAGGACCTGCCGCGGCCGGCACCATCTGCGTGACCTCTGGCCTGCTCCGGGGTCACCCCGGCTTGCCTGGGGTGGCGACATGTGAGCTGAGACTTGAAGGAATAAGGGTGCGGCGAGTGGGTAGGGTGAGGCTGGTGGAGAAACCCTTTGCGTATTATTAAGACATTTTTCATCCGTGAGGGAGGATTAATGCAGAACTACTGAAGGATTCGAAGCCCTGCCGTCACCATCGCAAGAGCAGACGTTTGGAGTTGACCAACTCTAAATACTGGATGTGTAATAAAAATGAGTGCAGCAATATGCTTAGTGCCTGCCCGCGCTGGACAAATATGAACCAATTTAGTCAACACAGCAACCTTTCCAGTGGGTACAAATGTAAAATCCGCATTTTACAGAAGCGAGAACTGAGGCACACTGAGGTCAAGGAATTTGCTCCTCGTCACACATCTGATAAAAAGTGAAAATGGATTCAAACCCACGCTCTCTCTTGTACCCCCCCCCCCGCCCCGCCCCAATTAAATACTTTTTTTAGAAGGAGGGAGGAAGAGAGAGAAACATGGATGTGAGATAACATTGGATGGCTGCCTCTTGTACATGCCCTAACTGCAGATCAAACCCACGACCTAGATATGTGCCCTGACTAGGAATTCAACCCATTACCTTCCAGTGCATGGTGATGCTCCAGCCAACTGAGCCACACCAAGCGGGGTATTAAGCACTATTTTAGATTTTTGTTTAAACCTTACTTATTCTTGACTTTGTAATCATGGGGAAAAGGTACAATGTAATAGAAGTAGATAATTGTTGCTGCTAGTTTCCTTCCTTCTCTCCCTCCTTTTTTCAAAATATAATTTTGACAAATCAAATATACAGAAAAGTTGCAACAATATGACTTCCAAATGCCCAAATATCCTTTACCCAGATTCACCGTGTATATTTTGCCATTTTCAATTCTTTTTTAAAAATATGCTTTTATTGATTTTTTTTTTTTCATTTTAGAGAGAAATAGAAACATCAATGTGAGTGAGAAACATCAATTGGCTACCTCCTGCTTGCCCCCTGCTGGGAATGGAGCCCACAACCCAAGCATGGGCCCTGAAAGGGAATCAAACTGGGACCTCTCAGTCCATGGGATGTCACTTAATCCACTGAGCCACACCAGCTGGGTGCCATTTCCTATTCTTGATAGAGATACATAGATTTATAGCCCACTCCTCATCACAATTTTATCTGCTAAGTTTAGCATCTGTTAGTGATTATTGCTTGGATCAGTTATTACTGTTATGGTTGCAAAATGGTGATTATCTAATTCCATCCTTTCTCCGTTTTTTAGTTTACATTCTACTCTGAGCAGAGCTTTATGTTCTCCCACATTTCTTTATTTGTTCTTGTATTCACTTGTATCAGTACGGACTCATGGCTTCCTTTTTATTCTGTGCCAAAACTATTCTTTCCTATTGCATAAATATCCTATTGCTGCCTCCGGATATGGGTCATTTAATCCTCATAGGAACCCTTCAAGTAGGTCCTACTGTTATTCCCATTTTGTCAGAAAGGAAACTGGGCCGCAGAGAAATTATGTAACTTGCCCACAGTCACAGCTTGGGGACAGAACCCAAAGCTAGAATCTAACCACTCTACTCCACACCCTTCCCTTGACATGAGTAGATCTGAGTTCCCATTGTCCATCGATACTTCTACTGGAACTGCCATCTAGAAGATGGAGCACAGATTCTTATTAATGTTTGTAGACCAAATGTTTAAACTTGATGAGAGCTTTCAGCATGTCAGAAAGAAGCCGATCACTTGTAATGAAAGGCTGTATACTCATGTTACTATGATAAGGGGGTCAGCCTTCCAGCAGAGACTAGAAGGGATTTCAAAGAAGAATACATTTTATAACGAGAAAGGAGAGATCTTAAGACATTATTTGGTTGAATATTCTAGAATGAAATTTTTCTATTAGGGCATGATTTTGAAAGTGGAGTGTGGAGAGACTTTCTCTTTTCCATTCAAGTACGTTTGTCAGTCTTTGATTGGTTCACTATCTACTAGTACTTAACTGGGGAATTTCTGGGCTGGTTAGCATTATATGAGTTTTCCTCTTTCTGTTGGAAGACCACCTGGTCCTCAGCTTTGGGCCCAAGTCTTGTGTCACCAATTCCTCACTGTCTTTACCCACATTGTCTCATTCTGCATTCTCTGCAGCCAAGGGGTTGGGGAGATGGAGCAGAGGGTTGTTCATATGCCATGTCCAGTGCCCAGCACTGGGCCACGACTAGAGCAAGTATGCAGTAAACGTGTAGGATGAGTTCCACTTACTGAGTTGCTCATAAGAATTTTTTCTATTTTCTGTTCAATGTTTCCAAACAGGAAGCTCTTACAGCTCAGGGATTCCACCACGGGGTTCTGCACTGTGCTTTACTGAGAAAAGCAGTGCGGTTTCCATCAAAATGGATTGGATTCAAAAGCCATCTCTACCTCTTACAAACCTGTGGCCTGGGGAAGTACCTACTTCATAGAATGGTAGTAAGTATCCAATGAGATGTTGTATGTAAACACCTTGTGCCTAGTAGGGGCTTGACGAATGTTTTTCTTCCTCTAATAGGTTCCTAATAATACTTGTTCAGTAGCTAATGTGAAACACCAGAGCGACTCTGAGATGTGGGTTGAAAGGCCCCAGGTACTTTGTAACTTATCTTGACAACACTGGAAAACTCTGGAAATAGGTAAATGCCAGATGTAAGTATTAAAAGTATCAGAAGTGGTTGCCTCTAGGAAGAGGGCTGAAGGTAGTGGTCAGGGAACTATTATATTTTTATTCATATCTTTAAAAATTATTTATTTTTTATTGAAGTATAATTGACATACAATAGTAGTTTCATGCATACGTAGTGACTTGATATTTGTATGCACTATGAAATGATCTCCACAATAAGTCCAGTTACCATCTGTCTCTATGCAAAGTTAGCATAATTATTATTGACTGTATTCACGATGCCATACATGACATACCTATATAGCTGGAAGTTTGTATCTCTTGATCCCTTTATATGTGTTGCCTCCCTCTTTATTTCTCCTTCCCCCTGGCAACTACCAATCTATTCTCTATGAGTCTGGGTTTTGTAAAGTCCATATATAAGTGAGATCATGTAGTATTTATCTTTCCCTATTTGACTTATTTCACTTAGCATAATACTCTCTAGGTCCATTTAGGTTGTTGCAAATGGCAAGATTTAATTCTTTTTTTTTTTTTTTTTATTCCTCACCCAAGGACATTTTTCCATTTTTTGTTAGGATAGAGTGGGAGGGAGAGGGAGGGAGAGAGAGAGAGAAACATTGATGTGAAAGGGACACATCAAGTGGTTGCCACCCGCACAACCCAACCAGGGCCAGGGACAAACTGCAACCAAAGTACGTGTCCTTAGCAGAAACCAAACCCAGGTCTCTCTGGACCATAGGCCGATACTCTAACTGCTGAGCCAAACCGGCCAGGGCAAGATTTAATTCTTTAACATGGTTAAGTAATATTCGTTTTCTTTATCCATTCATCCATTCATGGATGCTTGCATGGTTTCCAGATTTTGGCTATTGTAAATAATGCTGCATTGAATGTAAGGGTGCACATATCTTTTCCAGAAGTGGAATTGATGGGTTATATGGTAGTTCTATTTTTAAATTTTTAGGAAACCTTCATGTTATTTTTTTATAGAGGTTGCACCAATTTATCTGCCCACCAAGTGTGCATGAGAGTCTTCTTTTATTTAATCCTCACCAACGTCTGTTGTTTTTTTATAATGGCCATCCATCTGTTATTTTTTATCTTTTTGATAATGGACATTCTAACAGGTATGAGGTGGTTTTGATTTGTTTTTCCCTGATGATTAGTGATGTTGAACCTATTTCCGTGTGTCTGTTGGCCATCTAGATGACTTCTTTGGAAAAATGCAAATTTATCCTCTGCTCATTTTAAAATAAGATTGTTTATTATTTTGTTATTGAGTTGTATGACTTCTTTACATATTTTGTTTTTGGGTTTTTTTTTATCCTCACCTGAGGATATTTTTGCATTTACCTTTCAGAGAGAGCAGGAGGGACAGAGGGAGGAAGAGAGAGAGAGAAACATCAACAAGAGAGAGAGAAACATCAACGTGAGAGAGATACATCAAGGGGTTGCCACCCATACAACCCCATCCGGGGCTGGGGACAAACTGCAACCGAGATACGTGCCCTTAATGGGAACTGAACCCGGGACTCTCTGGTCTGCAGGCCAATGCTCTAACTTGAGCCAAACCGGCCAGGGCTACATGTTTTGGATGGTAATCCCTTGTCAGATAAATGATTTGCAAATATATTCTTTTATTCAGTAGGCTTCCTTTTTGTTTTGTTGACCATTTTGTTTGCTGTGCAGACTTTTTTTGTTTGTTTGATGGAGTCCTATTTATTTTTGCTCTAGCTGACTTTGCCATTGGAGTCTGATCCCCCCCAAAAATCACTAAGACCAATGTCTAAAAACTTATTGCCTATATTTTTTTCTAGGAGTTTTATGGTTTCAGGCCTCACCTTTAAATCTTTAGTCCATTTT